GGGGGGGCCCCGGATTTTTTGACACCCCTCCCCCCCCCCCCCCCCACACACACAAATAGAATCTGCAGTCAAAATTAAATGCCGCCCCATCAATGTATAGGAAAAAAAAGTGCTGCATGAGACCAACTATTCCTACGCCGGGGCCTTAATTGACATAATTTAGTCCACATTGATGAGATTTGGATTTATCAACTCATGAAAAGTACCGGGGTAAATGGCCATGCGGCGGGAGCGGGGGGCTAAGTGTCGTTCAGCCCGGTGCAATTCTTCACCACCGATAAGTTACAAAGGGAAATTTAACGGTGTGCTGACAATATGTGAAAAGTTACCCTTTTGAAACTATTTTAACTTAAAAACTCAAATAAGCACAATGGCAACTAGAAACAGAGTAAGACAGCTTTAATGCTAACTACAAGGAAATACAGAAAGAAAAAAAAAGTCATGACGCGTCTATGAAAGCAGCAAAGGATAAAATAAATATTCCAATATAGTCACTATCCACTGATAGATAGATATACTTAAGCCTTTTTAAAAAGTGCCCCCCCTCCCCCCTCCCTGAATTGAATTAGTCAGTTCATCTCTTGGCCCCTGGTAAATGATTTTAATTTTTTTTTTAAAGTAACTAAGTAAGTAAAAAATCTTTTTAAAAAGTGCCCCCCCTCCCCCCTCCCCGAATTGAATTAGTCAGTTCATCTCTTGGCCCCTGGTAAATGATTTTAATTTTTTTTTTAAAGTAACTAAGTAAGTAAAAAAAAAAAATATCAATTAAAATATATCAATATCTTATGAAGAGCTAAAATATAAGACTTAAGATTTAGAACATTCTTAATATAAGTGATTAATTGTATACCAAGCGTTTTGCAAAGATGACACACATTCAACAATTATTTCTTTATATAGTTTTTTCTCTTATCATTTATAGACGTTACTATAAAATTAATGAAGACAACTTACCATCTCTCATAAATGAATGAAGGATTTACTCAATGAATTCGGATTGGGTGGTGTTGATAAATCCAGTTTATTTTATACTCTGAAATAATGCATGAAAACTTAGACATTTCGTTCAGCTGAACATTTTAAAAAAAGATGTTATTTAAATATTAAATTCAATCATCAAATTTTGAGAAAACATCTGATGATTTTCTCATAATGCATTTGATGTTTGAATTTTTTCCATTAAAGAAACTTCATCCTTTAAAAAAAAAAAAATTTAACTGTAGTTGGCATTGGAAATAGTAAAGTGTTGTAAGGGTGTTAAATTTAGAATTAAAATTGTTTTTAATATTTTTAACATCTAAAAGTGGGGTCAAATTATGAAATATATTATAATAAAGTAGTTGCAAATTATTTGTAGAGAATTGTTTATGCTTTATTCAGAGGTGGATTTTTTGCGATCCACATGAAATCAAAGAACAATCAAATATTTGTATAGAACATCTTTTACTGTTGAACTTTAAGATTTCCCAATTGCCACTGTAGATAAAATCTGCCATAGGTATATAATGTACTATTTAGTAATATAAACAAAGGCCATGATGATAATGTTATTGCTTTCTAACAGCAATACTAACATAAAGTATAGCCCACTTTGAAAATGAGCCATTACTAATAATAAAGGGCTTGGTCAGTTCAAAGTTATACTTTTTTTAAAATTACAGAACTTTGGTAACTTACACTCTGTTTAAATTTAATATGGTGGTCACCGGCATTGGTTGATAGAAAGGTAGGCTAATTTTAGAGGATAATATTAGGGTAGGGGTTTGGATAACTTCTATTATAGATGGTTTGGGTTGGGTTTGAAAATAATTTCAGTAATAAATATCAGATACATCAAGAGGAGTTCAATTCAAATTATTTTATTACTAATTTTCAGAAATTATTGATGGATGGAATTTCCTACTAATTGGGTTAAAGAAAGAAAAAGCTTAGTCCAAACCCTAACTAAAACAACAGACTAGCTATGATGAGTTAAACACATTTCAAAGTCGAGTAAATTTAGATAGGTCAACTCAAATCATCCATTAAGCCTATCTTATTCAAACTTATTGTAAACTGCACATATTAGTATTAGACAAAGAACTAATTCTATCATAATTCATATGAAATTAATTTGGAATAAGTAATCCAAAAATTTAAATGGAATACATTTAATATGGGTAGTTATTTTCTTATATTTAATTACCTGGGGGCCAGGCTTAGGGGCCATCCATAAATGATTCAACACATATGGCATGGGAAAGGGGGGGGGGGGGGGGGGGTCCCCAAGATGTTTGATTAAAATTAAAAGTTTTAAGTTGTATTGTATTACAAAAAATTGATGATTGAAAAATTTTAAAAAATCAGTCACATGGGTGTGAAATCATTTATGGGTGGTCCCCTAGTCTGCTTCTTTTTTAAACTACTAAACTGCTGTTATTATGTTATTTCGATTGTATTAATTATTTGACCAAATTCTTGAATTAATGGAATTTAAATAACAAAAAAATTGAATTGTAGGCCTTTTAATTTTATTTTGTTGATTTAATTAAAGTACTCTAAACATGTTAGACAGTGCAACAAAGACAAACTGCTACTTCAACACAAATTTTCTACCCAAACATAATAAATTTCATAAAACATAAACATTTTTAAAATTATTTGCACTAACAGTAGTAAAGGTGCACTGCTGATCATCTGCTGACAAAAAAATTACATTTCTGCTAAACTTTTCTAATACTAATACTATCATAGCTCATAATCCTATCCGTCAAATAAATGTTCTGTCAAATAGGTTGACGTTTTTTTTATTTTAAATAAATTAAAATAATTTTAATACACCATGTTTTGTACAGTAAAGAAGTAGTTAAATAGTTTATTTACTTTCACGATTGAATGCAAACAATGAACAGGAAGTAAACATTGATGGTTTTTCCTAATCAAACTAACCGGCACACTTTATCCTCACTTTTTTGCTTTCATAATTAATTTTTGTTTTAGATATAACAGTAAACTTTAAATGAATTTAATGGTATTTAAATCATTTTAACTTCAACTAGTAATAACGTTTTAATAAATTTACATTTTATAAAAGGTATTAATTTTAAATATAATTTTTGTTCTTTTACGTATATAAAATCATTAACGAAGTACCTTGAAGATTTGATTTCACCACAGATAAACGTGAGACTTAACTTCACTTAACTTCAGAATCAGAATTGTAATTCTTTTTTTGTTTACAATACAACCTGTAAGTGTAAAATGCTTATTCTACAATGGGTTGTTTATAAAATCCATTTATACATAACTGAAGTGACCGAACTTGTGTCAATTGAGTGTGACTGCAATGAACACTTACAAAGACTTACTACTAGCCTAGCCTACAGTACAGTACTACAACTTACACTTTACTCTTTTCTTTACACTTACTCAACTTACTGACTTACTGGTCAGAGTGATCACTGATACTGGCTGACCAAATTTTACTTTACTATTACTAAGTTAGTGTCTAAGGTACTACTTGTATTGTCTAAGTCCTATAACTTATACTTACCATACCAACGAAACTCAGAATAAATAATAAATGTAAGTAAGTTTTAGGTGGCCTAGGTTAATTCAAGTGTCATAGTCATACTCACTGACAAATGAGAGATTTCACTCTCACTGACAAGTGAGTGACTTCACTCTCCTCATTCATTGAGGGTGAGACTGACTGAAGTAGACATCAATCAAATCAATCACTACTAATACATACATAGTAGTAGTAGTAATTTTTTTATAACAGTAGATGATTAGTACATGTTATGTCATTAACAAGACGACTATTAATAGTGTGGTGTGAGTGGTTTTTTTACTTATTTTGAGCTTGCAATGCTCTACTCTACCAACTCTACCTAAAATAAAAACTGCTTATAGTATAAGTTATACAGATTTGAATTAAAAGACTACACTAAGTCAGAAAATGAGACATGTCTTGTTCTTCTTAGGCCCTATTTTATTTGATATTTTCCCCAAAAACTCATAGGCATATTAGGACTTACTTACTTTCAGTTTCAGTAAATTAGGCTATTTTTTACATTCATAAAAGTACATTTATTCATGAAGCTTCATGTTTAAAAATCTACATTATTCGTGGACTACATAATTCAAGTGCATTTCATTGGCAACACATCTGTCATTACTGTTATTTTATTTGGAAATAACTCAAGTCTAGAGATCTATTCACATACCATTAAATGTCCTCCTGGTGCTTATTTTTGGAATAGGGCTTTCATTTAGAGCAGCGGTTCTCAACCTGTGGGCCGTGACCCCTTTGGGGGTCGCCTCAGACTATCGGAAAACACATATTTTTTGGTTTTGGGTCGCAACGCAAGGAACTGTGTTAAAAGGTCATGGCATTAAAAAGGTTGAGAACCACTGATTTAGAACATCCTAAAAAGATATGCAAGTGCTTATTTTCTGAATAGGTCTAATTTTTTTAGAAACATGTCAGTAGCCCACACCGTTACACCTCGGGTTAATTAAGTTGAGGATCCTGTGACTGAGTGAATATACCACTAAGAATTCTGTATATTATTTATGCTATTTACACTCAGTGAAACTTACTGCAGTTAACTAAATACTGGGTGAAATTGCACACAGAATTAAAACAGAGATTTTCCTTAAAAGTTATTGATGTTTTTTTGCTTGTAACAACCCCAGTGAGAAGTTACTGAGTAATTTATAATTTAGTTTGAAATTGATGAAATGTCTACTTTTATAAAACAAAAAAGTATAAAATAATGTATCTGTTATGTATTTTCAGTCTAAATTACAGAATCAAAGGGAGACACGCAAATTAAAAAAAAAAAATAATAATAAATCATTGTCATGTTAAGACGGAAGAAGTATCAACAGCATGGCGATGAAAGTGGCCAGAAGTCACTCTCTCTGCCAAAAACTCCTTTACAGCCATTAGGAGAAAAGTACAAAGATGCTAGAGAAGCTCGTTTGGAGGAAGAAGTTCTTGGTGTTGCAGAGAATGTTATTGAGGCCCTGCCCACAGTGAGCACAATAATAATTTTTTAATGCATTTGAATAATTTATATCTGTCTAAATTAACATAACATTTATCTAAAATAGGAGTGACTTCTTTCCCTTTTGTATAATCCTTGAAGCTAATTTGTTTTTTTACATCATCATTTAGCCCAGTTTAATTTTAATTTAACTTTCTTTATACTTTAAAAAGTTTTCTTATTTTTATGTTCTGTGATGGATTTTTGTTGTCTACCAAGTATTTAATTTATACAATTTTTAATAAAATTTAGTATGATACAACAGAAAGAAAAAGAAAAAAAAGAAAGCGACATTCCAGCCAAGAACCAGAGAAGAAATGGTCAGATTCAGATGATGAAAAAGCTGCAGAGTATGTGTAACTTTCATAAATGATAAGCAATTTTGATAAATATGTTTTTAAGTGTGAAATAAAAAATTTTTTAAAGCTTTGCTCATGGGCGGGTTAAAATTTTGAAGTGTTTGATTTACAGACGATAATTTTGAAAAGAAAGGGGAGCTGTTCTTTTTTTTTAAAGTACATTTAAATTTAATGTAATTTTGTTTTTATTCTTAAAATAATTTAGAAAAAAATTGTTTTGTTCTTCAAAATAGTTCAACACACAAATTGTGGTACCCGGTATGATTTTGGTGTCACTGGATAGCCAAAGTGTCTACTTGTTGTCAAAAATCCATCCATTTTTAAATCTATTATGTATTTACAGATTTGAGAAAATAACACCTTCCTGGGCTGCGAAATTTGATGATGAAAAATCTGATGGTATGTCATATCTCAAAAACAGTTATTTCACTTCTGCAGACCATTGAAATTGAGATAAATATTTTGGTTGGGGAGGGGGGCAGAACTAGAAACCATTATTTATATAGTGTTGCCTCTGCTAGTGTTAAAATATTGTATAAAATATAATTTCAGTTGTTGATATCAAAATATCCACAAACTGATGATTAAAATCTTTTGAGACATCAATATATGATTAAGATAAAGTGAGAGATATTAGCAGGTAATTTCTCCTGAACTGCACAATTCTGTCACGGTTTGAGAACCTTTGTCCCATGTTATTTTTTACACAAAAAGTATTGTGTCTTTTATGTCACTACACAGTTAGAATCTAAGACATGCTTAGATACTATATTTAGTCTAGTCATCAGGCTGTTTGTCCTTACATTCTTTATCCTTTCATTTGATTCTCAGACAGTGATGAGGAGATGCTGAAAGCCCAATGCCATATTAGTATTGGAGCGTCAGTGAGCCTACCATCCAGTGCACTTGAATTCAAGAGAGTCACAGATGGAAACAAAGAAGATCCCAGCAAGGTCTGACTTAAGAGTTCTTCAAATTAAAGTGCAATTTTTTTGGTTGGTTTTTAATCTTTGTGGGTATTGCTTTGATCTACCCAACATCAGTTCTGATTCTCATCTTTTCTTTTACCAACAGGCCAGCCTGCGAAATGTAGAGTTTCATCCCAAAGCCACCGCATTACTTACTGGTGGACCCGACAACACTGTTCGGTTATTTGCTGTGAGTGAAACGTGCAGATGTGCGAAAGACTTAGTCCTTGACCTCTGTGTTTAATAATAATCTACCTTAATGAAAGAAATCTTGATATAATTTTTTTTTAAATGTTACACATTGACTTTGGTACTTGGGCTCAGGGGTGCCACTTTTCCGGGTCATCCCGGAATTCCGGATTCGTGAGGCTAAATATTTTTCAGTTCCGGATTCGCGAGTTTTTATATTCTCTCTTTCCGGGTTCGCCAGTTCAATTTATTCAAATACGGATTCTGTCTGTTTTTTTTTTTTTTTAAAGAATCAACGTGCAACAGAATTCGCGAAAAACCAGGAAAATTCCTTGAAAATGGACGTTAATCGCCGATCTCGTCTATTTTTAGCCTTTCTGTTGACAGAGAGCTAGTGGTTTCCCCTTGCGCATGCGCTTTATACTACACGTTTCGAGTACCGTACTACTTCGATAGACCAGAAATATTTATTTTCTGTTCACGTCGGCGATCAAGAGATATTTGAAGTGTTTGGGTAATCAAAGTGTAAAATTTAGTAAATATCTTTTTAATTTAGTTTTTAATTGTTGGGTAACCATTATCATAAAAAGAAAACTACTCGTCCGAGCGCTGTCTAACAAGACTAAGCTTAGCATACTTTGTTATGTAGCTTTACCGTATGCAGGCGACTTGTATTTTTTTTTATTAGAAGAGCTAGGCGGCGTTTAACTTTTTTTAAAAGACTTCTTAAGTTCACTTTGTACTTAATTACGGAGTAAGCCTTCTCATTTTAAATAGGCTAATATGATTAAGTTATTTTTATCCGTTCTGTAGAGAGCCTGACATAACTGTATTTATTAGTTATGCACTCCCGTGTTCTGACTCTGGGTATACTTTACGGTAATTTGTAATTCTACTATTACTAGTATTCATAATGCTCTGTATTACCGTAGCAGTAGTGCCGTAGTTAAATACTGGTATAATATAGTCGATATTATTATTATGTATGCCTTACTATAAACTATAAATCTAATAAGATAATATATTTTATTTTGTTTCACTATTCAGGATCTTGGCTCAATAAAAATATGTAATGCCCAACAGTTAACAGTTCCTTTAACTTTAAAGAACTGATGGTCATTACAGTTACAGTACAGTACAGCAATTAGCAATCATGATTGAATAAGCCATCAATGAATACTATGCTGGAAATATTGATATCATGTATTCAAGGGGAAAATGTCTGAGTCAATCATCTTTATCACCCATCTTAGGTGTCCACTTTTGTAACTTCTCAATTTATGAAATTTATGTGTCAAACTATGAAACTCTCACACTTGGGAGATAGTATAGACACTAAAGTGTGTTGATTCAAACTATCCATTTTCATCATAAAGAAGACAACATTAACTCCATATATGAAAAGATACTTTCCACTTGTGGTAGCTATACTTTTGTTCTAAAATGCCCAGATAACTCATTGCAAAAGTTGACTTTTCAAGTCTAAGTAAATTGAAAAATTGCTATTGCTGTAAATTTAATAAATACTAATAAATGTTTACATGTATACACCTTAATTGCTTAATTTTGTTCATTTGTGATGTATCTCAATGTTTTATTTGATAATTTCATGCTTGTTTTTATATTAATCAACAAAATGCCGCATTGCGATAATCAGGAATTTTGAGTTTCATTAAGTTTCAGGGATTGAAAAATTTGTAAATGAAGTTTCAGGTTTCAAGAAATTTTTAGAAAGGGATTTCAGGGTTCACAGCTTTCAGTGAGTGGCACCCCTGCTTGGGCTGATATAGTTTCCTGGCCATAAAGTCAATAGAAAGTGTACATCAGTGATCAAACACTAAAATTGGTGAAGGTCTTTGCACACATACAAATTATATCCTGAAGATAATTTTTACCCTTGTCAACCATTAAGTTAAAAATTAAACGGTCATTTCCTGGCCGTGGAAAAGGTTTATGATGGGATATTATGGACATATAACGTGATAATTAACGTGTTAAAAGGCATTGTTTATGAAGTCTATGACTTTTCTCAATTCGAAGATTAGATAAGAGCGGCCATGATTCTTATTGAACTAATTTCAAGCTATGGTTTAAAAACATCATTCTTTTTTAGTTTAAAATGTAGATCAGGGGTTCCCAGGCTGTGGTACGGATACCCCAGGAATAATAAGTGGACCTTTGAGGGAAGCAAAAATTATTCATTATGGTGGGAAAACTGCAAAATAGGGTATTATACACCTGTTCCTTTACGAGAAGCTATATTTTAATATTAAGCGGTGTATTATCAACAAATTTTATGCTCACTGAAATATTTGCACACAAAAAAAAGGGAAGGTTTACAACAACGTAATGTATAACCCCTTGTCATGCTGCATAGCTGCAATAGTAATTTCGGCGTTTTGAAATTACGATAATTTTTTTTTTTTTGTGAAAACTTGTACAGACCTGATTTTTCGTAACATCTCTACATTATACATTTTTGTGTTAAAATAGGGTGTCCGAATTTCAGAAAAATAATCTTTACTCATATCTGAGATATGGGGTCTAATTGTTTTTACACCTAAAACAGGTGGCAACCGTGCAATTGTACATTTGTATATTTTATATGAAAATATACTGTGTAGATAGACAGCACATTAATTAGTTCAATTTTTGTGTAAAAAAAAAAAAAAAGTTCAGTAGAGCATTGATTTCCAAAAGCTTATCATCCAACACTTCAGTTATTGGAATGGCTCCTTTTTTATTATTATTTTTATTTTTTTCGCAATGCGCATGGCAAGCAACGTGTGCATTCAAACACCATAAAACTGCACAATGCATGCAACATATAGATACCAGAAGTGACCAAACTGACATAATGCAATCTGCAAACTTGTTAATCCATATAAATTGCAGAATGGACGCCTACGAAGACCGGGTAACTTCTTTTCGCAGGGAAAAAAAAATGTCAAGTCCGTAACTTTTTTTTTTCTTTTACATCAATCCACTGATCCAGTGAGATCGTACAATACCTGTCGAAAATAAAATTTTTACATCAATCCACTGATCCAGTGAGATCGTACAATACCTGTCGAAAATAAAATTTTTACATCAATCCACTGATCCAGTGAGATCGTACAATACCTGTCGAAAATAAAATTTTTACATCAATCCACTGATCCAGTGAGATCGTACAATACCTGTCGAAAATAAAATTTTTACATCAATCCACTGATCCAGTGAGATCGTACAATACCTGTCGAAAATAAAATTTTTACATCAATCCACTGATCCAGTGAGATCGTACAATACCTGTCGAAAATAAAATTTTTACATCAATCCACTGATCCAGTGAGATCGTACAATACCTGTCGAAATAAAATTTTTACATCAATCCACTGATCCAGTGAGATCGTACAATACCTGTCGAAATAAAATTTTTACATCAATCCACTGATCCAGTGAGATCGTACAATACCTGTCGAAATAAAATTTTTACATCAATCCACTGATCCACTGAGATCGTACAATACCTGTCGAAATAAAATTTTTACATCAATCCACTGATCCACTGAGATCGTACAATACCTGTCGAAATAAAATTTTTACATCAATCCACTGATCCACTGAGATCGTACAATACCTGTCGAAATAAAATTTTTACATCAATCCACTGATCCAGTGAGATCGTACAATACCTGTCGAAATAAAATTTTTACATCAATCCACTGATCCAGTGAGATCGTACAATACCTGTCGAAAATAAAATTTTTACATCAATCCACTGATCCAGTGAGATCGTACAATACCTGTCGAAAATAAAATGTAAGAGTATGTTGTGTGCACTAAGTTCATTAATGCAACCTTTCTATTGGAATGTTTGGTTATTAGAAAAAATATCAGAAACAACCCCGGCCCCAATTAGTTTGAAAATCAATGCTCTATGCTGCATGTGCCCTTAGTCTAAGGGGCACACAACCCCTGGGGTGCGGGAGGCATTGTTCAAGAACGCAGAAATACCCAGAAAGTCGTTTTTATTTGCATTTTATTAGAATTGTTTTTGTCAGGGGAGCTTGGGAAATAAATTTTAAAATAGAGATAGGGATGCCATAAATGTGTTTGGAAATCAAGAGTGGGGTGGCACTGCGAAAAGTTTATAAAGGTACCAGCAAAATAATAATAAATTCTTTTAAGCTATGTATCTTAGCATGAACTTATTGTCCTGCAAACTCTTATCTATTTTTGTATTAAGATATTTATGGGTATGTTTGTATAAAATAATTAATTGCCAATTTGTATTTACATTGAGCAAAGGAGGGCAGGGCTCGTGAGCTGTAGCAATGCCATGGAAACAACTTTCATGTAATATTTTTTTGCTGGAAAATAAATTTTAAAAAATGGGGGGGGGGGGGGATCAGATCTTCATTGGGTTCCCAAATTTTTTGGTTTGCATCATTTATTGATGAAATAAAACACAACATCATGCTCAACAACAGATACATCGATGGTCTGCTGTACTATTTTACAAAACTAAACATAACTAATGTGTAGATGCTGAATAACTTACAGAAGGTATACTTACACTGAGAATTTTCATACCAAAATATATGAAGGTGCAATTGTACCAATTTCGCCTGTTAGGGTTACAAAACTAACAGCCTGAAAAGGGTCAAATGTCGCCTGTTACAGTTATAAAACTAACAGCCTGACAATAGTCAAAAGTTAATGTGGACCACATTTTTAATATAATTTTTTTTATTTGTAAAATAGCTAAAATAACTTGTAAAAAAGTCTGTCGGTGTCAGTAGCTTGATCTGCTGCATTTGATTACTTAGCTATTCAAACTTTTTTTTTAATTTTAAGGGATGATTGGGGTGGGGTGAGATTTGGTTCTAATAAATTAAATAGTCTTTTCCAGGGGTGTGGGAGAAGAGAAACAAATTTTAGAAACCCTGATCTCAATGATGGCATTTAGCGTTGAAACCCTGATCTAAATGATAGCATTTAGCATTGAAACCCTGATCTAAATGATAGCATTTAGCGTTGAAGCGATTTTTTTTTTTTTAGGCTTACTATTTAGAGTACAAAATGGACTTAAATTTATCATTTCATGGTTTCTTTTTCTTTGTTTTACATTTAAAACGCTTTGATAGGATAACTGTTATTTTGTTTTAAATAGTTTTCCAATGAACACACAGGTTGACGGCAGCAAGAACAGAAAAATCCACAGCATGTTCATGGAGAACACACCGGTGTTTTGTACGCACTTCAGCAGGGGGGGTACTGAGATTCTCATTGGGTCCAAAGGCAAAACTTTCTACATCTATGACATGGAAGGGAGTAAAGGAATCACTTACAGGCCTAAGATTAAAGGTTGGAACTCAACGTCACATTCTTTTTTTGTGTGTTCTTCACACTTTGTTGCTCAGCTTCATTTCTGATACATACCTTATTCTCTTCAGACCCCCCCCCCCAACCCGCAATATTAACAAATAAAACCATGTTTTTAAAAAATCAAAAAAAAAAAAATTTTTTTGTGTGTTCTTCACACTTTGTTGCTCAGCTTCATTTTTGATACATACCTTATTCTCTTCAGACCCCCCCCCCCAACCAGCAATATTAACAAATAAAACCATGCTTTTAAAAAATCAAAAAAAAAAAAATCACTTTCATTATTTGTTCTGTGATTATTTTATTTCTTACCTAACTAGTCGTTTTTTTTTTATTGAATATTTCAGTAATGTTGTTTTTAAAATGTTGTTTCAGGTCTGGACATTTTACAAATGTCCAAGTTTGTTGTGTCACCTGATGACAGATTTATTGCATTTCTTGGCAGATTTGGATACATTCACCTCTTCTCTCAGACTGTGAGTCACTCAGACACGTGGGGGGGAGTCGTTGGACATTTAAAAAATACAAAAAACATGTTGACTAGCTTTGAAATTGCAAACGTAGATTGTAGATAAGTTTACAGAATAATTTTTTCATACACTAGTTTATACAGTTTAAATAGAACTTGATGCAAATTGTTTATCTACTTAGAGTGAGAAATGTTTTTCCCTATTAAATTGTGAAATATTAAGCTTTTCCATAAAATTTTAAGTAGAATCCAACTTGTTGAGAGGTTTTACTTCACGGCATTAGTGGAACAAGATATGTTTAGTTTTGAAATGAGAAGACAAGATTTCATTACGGCTTTGAAATGCAGTCTCTCTTATATTTTCCTTCATGGACTACAATTTGTTTAATAATGGCGGTCATGATGAGACCACTAATTCAAATTAAACTGTAATTTTCCCCCTCAGAGCAAGGAGCTGATTGATTCTGTGAAGATGAATGGTGATGTCATCAGCGTGTGCTTCTCTAAAGATGGGAAATACATGTATTCCTTTGGCAGTAAGTTTACCCCATGGCGTCCTTATTTCTCCAAGCACACAGTAAACTTTATTATATATATGTATTCTTTTGGCAGTAAGTTTACCCCATGGCGTCCTTATTTCTCCAAGCACACAGTAAACTTTATTATATATATGTATTCTTTTAGCAGTAAGTTTACCCCTTGGCATCCTTATTTCTCCAAACACACAGTAAACTTTATAATAGATTTTGTTGTGATTTAAACAAGAGAACTACCGGTGGGACATTTTCTACCAGGTGCCCATTTTGCTGGTTTTATCCAGGCTCAAAGGATGTCAGATTTACATTAAACCTTAACCCAACAATTGTTTAAGACAGTGGTCGGTAAACTCATTAGGCGATTTGCCGACATCGGGTTTAAGACATAGTGTGTCCCATTTGGCAAAAGTGTGCTGGACAAAGTTTATCTCTCTGAAAGAAACATGGAGTTTAGGATCCTGGTTTAGGCTAAAAAAAAAATTTAAATATTCTCCTTACAAACAGATTTGTTACATTAAAAAAAAAAATTATATTACGCGGTATATATATAGAGAGAGAGAAAGATACAAGCCACTCTTGAACAGAAATTATCATGAGCTGCAATATTAAACCTTTGTGCATCTAAAAAGTTTGTGTTCCAAAAAAATAATTAATTTTCATATAACTTGATTTCCCTAGATTTTGTTGTACTAACAAAAAAATAATTAATTTTCATATAACTTGATTTCCCTAGATTTTGTTGTACTAACAAAAAAATAATTAATTTTCATATAACTTGATTTCCCTAGATTTTGTTGTACTAACAAAAAAATAATTAATTTTCATATAACTTGATTTCCCTAGATTTTGTTGTACTAAAAAAAAAATAATTAATTTTCATATAACTTGATTTCCCTAAATTTTGTTGTACTAACAAAAAAATGACCATTTGTAAAAAAAAAAAAAAAAAAAATTAATAATAAATAAAACATTTGTCACTTTTCTATGCACAGCTGATGGGGAGGTGTATGTTTGGGATATGGACACAAGGGACTGTATCCACCACTTCAGTGATGAGGGCTGTTTGAAAGGTGTAACTGTTGCTGCCTCCCCTGACAACAATTACCTTGTTTGTGGGTAGGTCACATTATATGTGTTGAGTTAAAAGTGCCTTTATGGTCAGGTGTTTAATCAATGATTTAAAGTGAATATGATAATTAAAAGGTGGCTCGCAGTCAGACATGAGAATTTAATTTCCCTAGACTTTTCAAATGTGCTCTCAAACATGTTTAGTCACCGACTAATAATCCTGTCAATAAAACTGATTTCAAGTGTCCATTGTTTCCCCTGCTTCCTTAACAGCCTGGTTGGTCATCTTGCAAGGGGGGACAAACAAAAAAATTACTCTCAACTTACCATGCTGGTTAAGTAGATGTCCCTGAAGTTAAACATCTACGTTTCCTGTCTTTGAATATGGTTGTCAACATCCAGTGCTACGACTTCTGTGCCTCCCACCTCTATAAACTTAAAACTTGGTTGATTTAACCCCGGCATTTCAGATACATTTTTCACTAAGTAGCTGCTCTGTACCTGTCACTGACTAGTTGCTCCCTACCTGTCACTGACTAGTTGCTCCCTACCTGTCACTGACTAGTTGCTCCCTACCTGTCACTGACTAGTTGCTCCCTACCTGTCACTGAACAGTTGCTCTCTAGTATGTGACTGTATGTGTGTATAGTTTGGCACACATAAGATGGTCATTACACTGACTTGACTGACCAGCTTTATGTGTCTGAGTGGTATGCCACCAAAGAACGACCAACCTCATTGTAGCCATGTTTCAATTTCAGCTCCGCCAGTGGCATCGTCAGCGTCTATGACAGGGAGGCGGCCATGGCGTCTAGACACCCCAAACCACTGAAACTCATCAAAAACCTGACCACAAAATGCAGCGGCGCCCTCTTCAATGCCCAGTCGGAGATATTGGCGCTCAGGAGTAAGGATGTGGAGAAGGGAATACGACTGGTGAGTTGTGACAGAGTTAATGCTCTTGTTTTCTTTGTAAAAGCATGCAACTATTTGGTAAATCCTACTTCCGGCAACAAAAAGTAAACGTTTTTTTTTACTGTGATCTGATACTCGTTAGACTTATTTTTGCCGGTGTTTGATGAAGAGGGCTCTGAGCCGAAACGTCCAAATCTTTTGTCCTGTCTATGAATTCAAGTTTTGCATGCCTTGTTCTTATTATTTCATCAGCCTACATGACCTCAGTCCGACATGACCCCTGCCCCCAGCCTACAGGGTCCCCACCCCAATGGCCCCCACCCACCCCCACGTGACCCACACCCCTGCATGACATGACGGTCAGCACAAAAGGTGCTCCCTCTCTTATTGATTCCGCTCTCCCGTTCTCTCCAGGTGCATTTCCCCTCAATGACCGTGCTGCCCAACTTCCCTGAACAGCATGACCACGACATGAAGAACCTGCTGAGCATGGACTTTTCACCCTCTAGTGGATACCTGGCCCTCGGGAACAATAAAGGGAGATGTCTGCTGTATAGGTGAGTTTTAAAGGCACAATCATTAGGACACTGTATTGTTACGTTACGTAAACAGTGCAAACTCTTAAAGTTTAAAAATGGAGGGGGGGGGAGGGGGCTATTTTGAAGATGGAACAAACTGAAAGATTTCATGACTTCTTCAGCAGAGAAATAAAAAGAAGAACTTCCTCGAGCACAAGATCCAGTCATCCCATGTCATCAGTTTTTTTTTCTGAATTATATGTTATCTGCCGACCTATGCAAGAACGAGGGGAATAATTCATCTAATGGTCGGAGAAACACCAGAGTAATTTGTGACAGTTTAGGGGGGAGATGAATTTTCTAAATCTGTCGCTCCTGACTTTTGAGGAAAAGAATCTCACCGGCCCTGTTCTTAGGTAGCTTGGTGTAATCTGAGCAGTGTCCCTCAAATGTGTTGATATTTTTGCATTGGTGCCGACCACGTCTTCTTAAAGTGTTTCATCCAGTCCTGTTTAAGTATGACAGTAACTTTCCAAGGACTAGGAAATCCTGTTACAGGATTCATATAGAAAAATGGGATGTGGGAATACATTATGACATCATTGGGCTGTAAAGGAAACAGCAGCAACCTGAAGAGTGGTGTCTCAGCTTTACACATTAATGGATGTCAAGAGCTGAACGCCCCACATCGCCTGGTCAGAATTTGTCTTCACCAGTGATTCTTAATTTAAGCCACACGGAGCCATTGAAATGTCTGAAATTTTGTGTTAAAATTGGGGGGGTGGGGGGGGGTTGATTGACTGTTATATTTTTAGAAATACTCTCACATATTTGTACACCTGATGGCTAATTCCCAATGCTCTGCATGATAATTTAAGCCACACGGAGCCATTGAAATGTCTGAAATTTTGTGTTAAAATTGGGGGGGGGGGGGGTTGATTGACTGTTATATTTTTAGAAATACTCTCAAATATTTGTACACCTGATGGCTAATTCCCCATGCTCTGCATGACAGTTACCAAACTATGTGAAAATCACAGAGAAGTTTGCATGTTTAAAGTGTAGAAAAATTCATTGACATACGTCATATTCTTTTCTCTCGCAGGCTGCAGCATTATACCAAGTATTAAATGTTTTGACAGTGGACTTTGGGGGCATTCAACGCATACAAAAGGGCGATTCCAGGATCTGTAAATAAAAGGACTGAACTATTTATGAGGTGCTTCCTTGGTTTTTTGTGTGTTTTTTTTGTGGTAAAATTTTTTTTTTTTTTTTTGTGGTAAAATGAGACGCAAGAGTGGAATGAATATTTAAAGGGGTTGGGGGAGCGTTTGTTTGCCAACCCAAATGCCTTCACTGGCCGTTATTTGATCACAAGTCAACTCTTCCCTGGCTGCAATTCATTAAACCTAATAAATAAAAAAAAAACCACACAAAAGGGACACGGTAGAGGCCCACATGGCTGTTCATTTATTCTTTCCACCCATAATTCTCATGTGGCAGTACCAACACTTGTACACACTGCCAGATCAACTTGAAAGTTAAATGCAAATGAGGCACATTGCCCCCCACAGGCCCTCTCGCTAAAAAAATTGGTTTCAGCTAATTGAACTTAATATGATTGTTGGTCCTTATTTTTAAATTTGAAACAATGAAGCACTCAAAATGTAGTAACATATGTTAAATATCAGTTGTTAAATATCAGGTGTTAAATATCAGGTGTTAAATATCAGTTGTTCAATATCAGTTGTTAAATATCAGGTGTTAAATATCAGTTGTTAAATATCAGTTGTTAAATATCAGGTGTTAAATATCAGGTGTTAAATATCAGGTGTTAAATATCAGGTGTTAAATATCAGGTGTTAAATATCAGGTGTTAAATATCAGGTGTTAAATATCAGTTGTTAAATATCAGTTGTTAAATATTAGTTATATCATAAAAAATGTTAAATATTAGTTATATCATAAAAAAGCTTTTAGCTGTTACCTTGGGATCATTGACCAAAAATATTTAACATGATCAAAGATATTTGGTATAAAATGGATGAACGGTTCTCAACCGCTTGAGTCATTTAGTTTAATACCCACAGCTGAGGCGCCCTCGCCGCTGGGCAGCTTTTGACTTTTAAAGAGCCCTCACATTTGTGAAAATGTTTACTGAATGTTAACAAAGTATCAGTGGTCAGAGCTTGAAACTTGAAGCCCAGAAGTAATTTCTGCGGCCATGGCTCTCTAGGTCTGGGTCACCGTGACCCAGATTGTCCCCCAATGACTAAAAAGTTGAAATATGCCAAGCAACTTGAAGTTAATCTCAATTTTTTTTTTAATAAAAAAAATGGGCTGATTCCGAGTTTCTAATGTCAACATATGCCTAACAGTTTTACAGTATACATTTTTTTTAGTATTAGGGGTGAAATCTAATCCTGGAAAGCACTCTTATTACAACTAACCTTTCAATATTTATCTCAGTTATTCCCTTTAATTAAAAAAAAAAAAAAAAAGAAGAAAAATGGACTTTCTAAAGACCATATTATTTTTAAAATGGTTTTCTCTTCAATCATTGAAAACACAAGGATGGGAGAGGGGAGGAGGAGGAAGCGGGTGGGGACTGTTTAGGGGGATAGAGGATGTGTTTAAGTATCTAAACCTCTAGCCCGCAGGTCGTCATCACTGAGAACTGCATTTCCGGCAGTCTTTCAAAACTAAGTCGAAAACACATCTTTTTCCCACTCACCTGCTGGGGTGATGTCGTCTGCCGCCTTGTTTCCAGCCTGCTCATATTCCTCGATGTACATTTTGTAATGTTGCGTTTTGGATTTTATTTGTGGAAAAAATATAAATTGTCATCTGTGGTTGACTTTGTAACCGTGCTTCGAGCCTTAATTAGGGATGAAGCGTGCTTTTGAAGTGAACTTTATTTTTATTATTTCGTTTTGGTTGATGGGTCGTTAGTGCTTCAAATGTTGTATAGATAAGGGAGATATGTCACAACGGTGGGTGATATATGTCACAACGTTGGGTGTGGGTGAGATATGTCACAACGTTGGGTGTGGGTGAGATATGTCACAACTTTGGGTGTGGGTGAGATATGCCACAACGTTGGGTGTGGGTGAGATATGCCACAACGTTGGGTGTGGGTGAGATATGCCACAACGTTGGGTGTGGGTGAGATATGTCACAACTTTGGGTGTGGGTGAGATAATGTCACAACTTTGGGTGTGGGGGAGATATGTGACAATTTAAGTGAGGTAGATATGTCACAACGTTGGGTGTGGGTGAGATATGTCACAACTTTGGGTGTGGGGGAGATATGTGACAATTTAAGTGAGGTAGATATGTCAAAACATGGGTTTGGGTGAGATGTCTCACAACTTAGGGGATGGAGATGTATCGCAACCTAAGTGTGTGTGGGAGGGGGAGGGGGTGATATATTTAACAACTGTATCCTTGACGTTTCTGGATGTTATACTTCTGTGACGTCATGGAAGTCATTCTCAAAAGGTGTATTATCAGTGCTGTCTTCTTTAGAATGAAAGATCCAGATACTAAAAAATAGATAAGTTGATTTTTTTGTTTCCTAAGGTGGTGGGGTATAAGTATAAATGAGCCTTATTATGTTTGTAAGGTATTTAACACACACAAAAAAAGAAAGAAAATTAAATAGTAGATGAGAAAGAAGAATCGTGGTTAGGAGGAGTGTGAAAAGTGCAAGCCTGTGACAGATTTGAAGGTAGGGATTTTTAAAAAAATTGTCACAAAAAGGGGTTGGTATTCGCCAAAAGTGTTGGTAGGCACTAGACGTGTTGGTAGGCACTAGACGTGTTGGTAGGCACTAGACGTGTTCGGTGGAATTAAGAGTCAGGGTTAAGGAAAGTCGAAAGGTAAGTTTAAGAATTTGACCCTTGAAAAAAAGATTGTAAATCGGGAGGATCGTGCTGAGTCCATCGGAACTAAAAAAAAAACCAACAGTCTTCCATGGGTGAGCATGCCTGAAAGCGTCACTATCAACACGTCACCTACAGATACCTGTATTTCTTATTCTCGTCCTTCCCGTGCGCAGATGACCCAGGGCCGGGCTCGCCTTCAGTAGTGGCCTTGAGTTGAGCAATATTTTGTTTAAAGTGAAGGAGAGCTCTTCATTCTCACTCTCTCATCCTACGCTATTTGATCCAACGGCAAGACTCAAGTCAAAACAATACGACTGGAACTAGACCATAATATAGATACCTATATGCACGCACAACACATCACCTGCTTCTGCTGCGTGCACCGTACGTCACCTAAAGATGCCCCAATGCACCGCGTACCATTGTCAAGGCCATGACATCAGCGGTGAGTGTGTGTGTTGTGATGTTGTGACCATTGCGTGTGTGAACTGTTTTCAAGTGTAAGGGACGGGTGCGTGTAATTCGGGTTATAAAAGGGGGAGACAAATCATTTGAGAGGGAGTTATGTTCACGGACGGTGGTTGTACTACGTCACGGACGTGAGCGTGAACTGGGGCAGTGGTCCTCAACCTTTCTAATGCCGCGACCCTTTCATTACAGTTCCTCATGTTGTGGCGACCCCCAACCATAAATTATTTTCGTTGATACTTCATAACTGTAGAGTAAATGTGTTTTAAGATGGTCTTACGCGACCATTGTGAAAGGGTCGTGCAACCTCTAAAGGGGTCGCGACCGACAGGTTGAGAACCGCTGAACTAAGGAGTGTTAGAGAGTGAGACAGAACGAGTGACAGGGGTAGTTTTTTTATATAGCTCGCTGTGAGATGTTTCCCCTGAATGGAATAGTGTTCTACAGATGTATCTATAACTGAACTTCATTGCGTAGCTTAACTAGTGGATGTGTTCGAGTTCCGTGAAACAAAACCAGTAATACATCTGATCAACCTTTTAGCGTTGTTTGCATCGAACTAGTCCGTGGCATGACCAATGAAGATAGAACTAGAACATGTGGACGCTGTGGTACGACCAATGAAGATAGACCAGGTGGACGCTGTGGTACGACCAATGAAGATAGACCAGGTGGACGCTGTGGTACGACCAATGAAGATAGACCAGGTGGACGCTGTGGTACTACCAATGAAGATAGACCAGGTGGACGCTGTAGCATGAGACTTATGAGACATCAAGTAATCGCCATCAGCTTAAGACCTTGGACGACCAACTATTTGAGACATCAAGTAGTCGCCATCAGCTTAAGACCTTGGACGACCAACTATTTGAGACATCAAATAGTCGCCATCAGCTTAAGACCTTGGACGACCAACTATTTGAGACATCAAGTAGTCGCCATCAGCGTAAGACCTTGGACGACCAACTATTTGAGACATCAAGTAGTCGCCATCAGCTTAAGACCTTGGACGACCAACTATTTGAGACATCAAGTAGTCGCCATCAGCGTAAGACCTTGGACGACCAACTATTTGAGACATCAAATAGTCGCCATCAGCTTAAGACCTTGGACGACCAACTATTTGAGACATCAAGTAGTCGCCATCATCTTAAGACCTTGGACGACCAACTATTTGAGACATCAAGTAGTCGCCATCAGCTTAAGACCTTGGACGACCAACTATTTGACAACCATATAAAGATCGCTACCCGTGCCGGTAAGTTCCCTTTTTTGTTTTTAACCAAACCTTTTCCTCATTTCTCCATCTAAAACCCTCACAATCCTCACCCCACCCCCCCATCCCTTTTTTTTTCTGCCCTGGCTGTCTTGCAACTTGTAGCAAACTCACTTCGGTCAATTTGCTTGGAAAAAGTCAACATTTGCACCCCGACTCCATGCACGCCAAGCCCGCTAAGCGCTTCTGGTGCGAGAGTAACGCACGTTCACTATGACCAGAGCACCGTACGTCAAAGCCAAATCGCACCAAAGAGTCAATTACCGAGGAGTGAAATGGGCCGAGAAGTGAATTTATCGGGTCCTGTTGACAAGTTGAACCAATGGTCAACGCTTGCTGACTTTGATTTTGTTGTTGCTCTCGCTAGATGGTCAATTCCGTGGGGGCTTTAAATAGAGTGTCAGACCGCAGCAACGTCCTTTCCCCAGAGACGCAACTCCACCTCATTCGTTTTTTTTTTTTTTTTTTTAAATGTTCGTGACCTGGGGCCTCTATAAAAACATTGCCGTGAGATGGTAGGGGGTGTGAGGGTGGACAGCGTAGGAATCTTGGGGTGTGGGGGGAGGAGGGGGCTGCGTTATCAAAACACAT